TTATGGGCGGTGCTACCCGCCAGCCAGGGGAGTACTACCAGCACGGCCTTGTCACCAACGAGCACATCCACCCCACTGTTGCCATGCGCAACTATGGAGTCAAGCAAAGTGACCCCGTTATCAACGGCTACACCTATTGCCCCTCCCCTGAAGGCCTTCAGTATTGGGAGAGAGATCGCGGTTCTGGCACTGGGCTCTCTATGGATCCGCTACGCATCACTGTAGCAAGGTTTGGTGCTCTGGAGGCCAAACTACTAGGTATCGCTCTTGACTAGTGGTCAGCAGCATACTTGCTGGTCCACACAGCTGCCAGCCGCTACATATCTATCTACGTTGCTCAAATAGCATCGTTTGAATTGCGTTCATGTTTAGCATGATGGGAATAGCGTTGAATGATGAGATGATTATACGAGGATGAAAGGGACACGATCTAATGAGATTGCAGAGTAGAAACTGCATACAGTTTATATTAATATGAAACAAAGAACTACGAATCATGTAAAGATACAAATCGATTTGTTCTAATCAGGATAACCCAGTGCCTTTCCCGCTCTCCCATCCCATCGGAAGACGGACACTAAATGAATGTGCCTTTGTCGAGTTTACTCGCTGCCAGCTCGGCGGTCTTGCAATAATTTCCAGCTAAGTCCCGAGCTACATATACGACATGGTAGACAATCATGATAATCGTGTAGCTAATGTACTTGAGAAGCATACTCGGGAACTATACTACAGAGATGTCCATCCACCGTGTCAGCGGCATTGTGACCGAGAACAGGATTGAGTGATGCATGTAAGATAGTCGCACTTAGTTCATATCATCCATAGTTATGCGCTGTCAATCTCTTGAGCTTGACTATCGAGGATAATTCATATATTTTCCTGAATCTACCAGTGGTTGCAAGCTACCGTTATTTTAATATGCTTTTGCGTCCCAGTGGTATCCATTCTTAACGAGAATGTTTGCTTCTAAGGAAGACGCAAGAATATAGGCAGCAATTTTTCGTAATTAGGTGTACCCAATCCCGTCACCGGATCCCATCCTGGTGTCGCATTGAACCCGCCTGTGCCACATCCCGGGTTATTACCAATGGTGATATCGTTGAAAGCCTCGGGATGCTTGTAAAGCGTCGGGTTCAAGAAACCAATCGGCCCTTTACCAATAGCGATCCGCGCCTCGTTGAGCAACGTCACAATGCCCGCGAAGATGGGAGCACTCGCGCTGGTGCCACCAACACCGTATGTTGTAGCATTCCAGACGGTAGCGACGCTCAAGCCTATGGCTGCCACGTCGGGGAAACCGCGCGCCTTGCCAGTATCGTTATACACATTGGGCCCGTAATTGGGCGCGTAGTGCTTCATGAAATGGCTTACGGCGGAAGCCTGATACGCGGGCACAGGGAAGTAGTTCGAAAACCCACCGCCGGAATAGTATGCATTAGCTGGCCCTGATCCAGGCTGGGAGACTGCCCGCTCTCCGCTGTCGGTGTCGTTACCAATGAGTGTGGTCGCTCCCACTACCAGACGACGTCAGCGCATCTAGTTTATACTCCTATGGTGAGAAAGAATACGTACCAGAAGTGATATAGGGGCAGTTGACCGGGAAAGATGGCGAGTATCGAGTTCCGTTATTGTCCACGAACAGTTGGTCCTTGTTCAGGCACGAATTGGGATAACCCGAATTGTAACGGTTTGCAACGCCAGAATCCCCGCTCGCAAACAAAACGCTCACACCTTGCAATCCTAGCTTCATCCATTCGTTGCATTGGCGAACTTGGTAGAAGTACGGTAGAGCGCCCTAGTATTTCATTAGTATTCTTCGCCTGCCACCTCAGGGCTTGATACTTACCTCAATCTGCCCGTAACTTACGGAGATGACGTTAGACTTAGGTGCACCACCGCACTGTAGAGGGCCTTGGTAACCCAATTCATTGTCGTTTGGGTCGGGGTAGGCAGGATCTTGAACGATATTAGTTCTACATCTACAGCTTCCTTCTTCAGGAACTATGTCGGGGATACTCACCAACATACGGCTGATCACCGCCTTCGTATGTGCAGTAGCTTTCGTCCAGGGCATCAAGGAAGATATTGAAAGTGCCAACACTGTCGACGTTGATGCCATCACCGACCTGGTAATACCGGACCTGCTGAGGGTGGATTATAGAATAGGCGGACTGGACATCTAGAGCAGCTTCGACACCCGAGCCCTCCGATACAGTCGTCAAATTGGCCGTCAGGCCTCCATCGATGGCGATGAACTCCGGTTTGGTGTCAGCAGGAATTTGTGGCTTTGTGAAGTTCTTGAAGAAGAGGGGAAGATCAGGCTCGTAGAGATAGTCAGCCCATTCGGCTATGCCGATCTGGTTGTTCTTGGCCGCCGTCTTGCTAACGGGGAACTTATACAATTTGCGCAAACATTCTATGGTGATCAGCGCTCCGCAAGGTAGCGAGCCCAAAGAGGCTCCCCCAGGGATCTTAGCCAATGATTCACTTCCAATTTTGGTGTTCGCAATAGGCTTCAGGCCATCTAATTGCACGGTGGGCATGACAAAGTCGATGTGCTTCTGGACATGCTCTGGCAGGCTATACCCATCTACGGCAAGGCGCAGTCCGCCATTTTCAGCATGCTGGTAATGCCAATACTCTGTCGCAAAGAGACGTTCCGCTTCCTCTACAGTGCCGTCGAACTGTACCCAGTTGTGACCTAAAATCGGTGAGTATTGGCAGCGCAGCGGTCTGCGGGGTCAAGTTGCATACCTTTCGAGAGCGAGACTCGAGAGCGGTCAATGCCAGATTCGACAAGCCAGTTCACTACCGTATTCTTCGTTTCAGGGTGTGGCGCAAATGTATTGGCAACCTTTTCAGCAGTCCAATGCTTGCCAAAGTTAGGTGAAGAAGGGTCAGAGACATCATAGATGTATTTCTCGGTATTATCTAGGTTGCGCTGGCGGAGGCCAATGCGAATGGGTAGCACTTGGCTGGGGGCGGCACGTTCGCGCTTCTCCCAAATATGTGGCTCGCCATCACGCTTCTCATGTAGCATGTGCCTACTACCAGACGATGGAGCTGCTGAACATGTTATGGCGGAGGAGGCAAGCGCCACTACCAGGGTCGAAAGACGCATGTTGGAGAATCGGACCAAGAAAGAATTTGGGGAAGCCAAGAGAGCCAAGAAACCAAGCTACATTCTAGTGTCGGGAAGCGAAAGCTTGATTTATATAGCTGTCTTAGTCTCCGGGTGTATTCATGAAATGATTAAATCCCGTAATCGATTATATTACGATATGATGCTGGTTTCCGAACGAGGCTAGGAAGACCCAATGGCAAATGTCCCGTACATACAAGTGCATCCCTGAAATACTGTTAGTCTGTAGTCTGTGCTGCTACATTTTACTATCCTAGGCATACCTGTTTTGTCCCCTGGAATCATCTACATAGTATACGCTTGTAGGTTACTTCTTAGTGTGAAGCTAACATTACTTCAAGGGTGCACTCGTACTACTACATAAGCTGAAATACCTCACCTTCCTAAAGAAGACTAGAACAACGGTGTATTTGACATATGGTGCAGTATCGATTCCAAGTATGACGTGAGATTCAGAGGCAGGCTAGGCACATTTAGTAGACTATTCCAGACTCATCAACGACCGAAAATGCCAATCTAGAGTTAAGATTATTAGACAAAAACACCTTGAATAAAAGGGCACATCTGCCAGTGTCGCTGCCTAGCTATAATATCTGCAATATCCAACTTCGATGTATGGCCTATCTAATATAGTTGTAGTTATATGGCGTCATCCATCGTCATTGCCCGGTTTTGGGAGTGTTTACCAATGCGATGGCTCCTTCGACGCCTTTGACTAGGGGTCCCCGGTCATTGTGTACTACTGTGCGGGAGTTCGTTACTATACTGTATCATATCCAAATATGACTCGACATATGCTTGTCAATCTTTCAAACAATTTCAATCTACCAATACCGAGTATGTGGATACATGTAGAGTTTGCGTGGGAGCGCGAGGAATAGAAGTATCAAACATAACGACAATTGTGGAACCGATTGTCTTAAACTCAGAACTATGAAAAAAGCCAATTGTAGAGTGTGCATAAAATCAAGCCGGTAGTTAGCAACCTCATGAAGATAGTACTAATGGTGAGATCACAGAATAGATTTTTGTCTCTCAGCATTATATTGAATATTTGGGAAACTATAATAGAGATAGTAGAAGAAACAAATACGTTTCTCCATCTAAGCAAAGAAGTAGAAAGGCTTTACAGGAGCTGAAACGTTTAGAGGGGATGGCAACAATTGAACCGGTGAAAAAGAACATAGTTTTCCAAAGGAGCATAGTATTAACCAAGCATAGTGTTGTATAACACTAGACGCGACTTAGCCCCTAACTTGCAGACTGTTTCCTGTTTCATGACCAGTTCAATACTTCAAGTTTCGGGCCGATGGTCTGTGTCAGAGGTCCATGTTGGTCTTTCTAAATACAATTTGGTCAAATTTATTATTACTGTTTTTAGAATACCATCCATGAGTAGTTAGGAGTTGCCTGGTTTTGTCACTGGATAGTAGCAGGGACTCAAGTGAACACTCAACTGGCATAAGAGTCCACACAGAATAAAACCTAGGGAGTCGAGTATCTTCACTCCTAGTGTGATTCTTCTAATATTATACATGAGGTCATTGCCTCTCATGGCACGCGGAGGTCTTCGCCAGAAGAATTAGCAGCACGAATTTCTATATTAGGTTATGTTTTATATCTACAGAATACACTGCTATTTTCGCTCGCCATCTAGACAGTGCTATGTGAAATAATATAGCTTTCATATGGGAACATGAAAACAATCATATCGTCACTAGGGTATGTAGAATGACGGATTAAAATAGTCTTTCAATATATATCAAAACCGGGGAGGATGGCTGGAAACGGAAGGAATCCCATCGGATGCACGATTTGAACGGTTTAAGGACGAGCGTCTCGAAGACAAACAGGCGGCCTCGTGGCCCAATGGCAAGGCGTTTGACTACGATAGCATTCAGTAATGAATACTTCAGAGTAATCAAGAGATTCTGGGTTCGACCCCCAGCGAGGTCAGCTTCTTTTTTGCATTTGTTACCTTTTTGATAAATATTTCCTTGGTGGGTGTGTGCGGATCCTCTAGTAGCTCGCTAGCACTCTAGAATCAAGCTAGATTAATTTAGAGAACCGCTCACGGTTCAGAATTATATTTTCTCAGAATTATAATGCTTATTCCTTTTTTAATCACGTTCTTGGGTGTCTCTTCATCGGGGTGTTGGACCCGAGCTACCACATATAAAAATCTAATAAGGGGTAATATTTCCACTCCCTTTTTCCACAAATAACCAATTGACACATGTATAACATCCTCAAATACTGTGTCAGAATTGTTATGGCCATATCTTCCCTAGCGGCATTGAGCCTGTGTGCTATCGCCCACCCGCGAAATAACAAAACTTTCAGAGATCCCCCAACAACTTTGTCAAGGCTCCTTAACTTGCTGCTAGATCAGACGATCTTGCTTGTATGGAGTTGTGCCTTCAAATCCAGAGTAATCTTGATGAGAGCGATCAGAATGGAATGACCCTAATCCCCACTACGACAGCCTACAGCTCTATGTTTGTATTGCATTTATTGCTTTAGAAAGCCCAAAAATCGCGGCAAATCACAATAGTAAAGGACAAAATAGACTACCAAGGAAGGACCCCGTTGTACTTAGCCTTGAGTGGTGGATACTCGGGCTGCGTCAAAAGCTTACTCAGCCATGCTGTGGGCGTCAACATAAGAACAACCTCTAGTTAGACCCCAATCCATTTAGCTATACTTCGTTGTCCCTATGGCTCTCCGACCTTTGGTCGTCGCGGGAGCTACCGTTGCGGGGATTTCTACGAATGGCCGGTCAGCCCTACACTACATTTGCACGGCGGGAGGAATCGACCAATCCCTGCGGTCCCTGCTGCAAGACCTTGATCCCAACAAAAAAGACGTGGACGGCATAACTCCCTTACAAGCCTTTGCCGGGTCCGGCAAATCGGACCTTAATGAAATAGCTCTCAAAGTTGGGGCCGACCCTAAGATACAAGGCAAGGACGGCTCCTTCCCACTTCATTGCAAGATAATAGCAATACCACAGGATATCTGGCATATTGCGTGTAATAGCAGTGAAGTGACACTACTATTAACGCAGAACATAAGAGTCGGCATTCTGTGTTGGTGCCAGCTTAGTTTCCATCAAGCTAAGCCTGGTAATTATGTCTTGTTACTCTTATCTTCAGCATTAGACTCAAACCAGCTCCTACTAGAGTTAGGATGTTTATAAGTACTTTCTTAGTACTTCTTTTGCAATCTTAGAATGCCTTTCTTCAAAGAATTCTCGTCTTTAATGTTTGGCTAATGGACTGTTGAATAGTTGTCCTTTTAAGCTCCAATCACTTAGCGTGGGCACTTAGGAAGCAGAGTACTTCTGCTAGTTATCTTGTACCCATTACTCAAGTTTTCTAGCTGTCCTAATTATCGAAAAAATGTAGGTATAAACTTTAGCTGTAGGCAGAGCGAGGCAGCAGCTAATTTGGGTGATATCCTGTCGTATAAAAATCTGTCTGGTCACACTCTCTAATTTGTTAAGACGTTCTTCAAATTTCGCGGACTGGGCTAACTGTAATGAAGGAACAAGAGCACAGGGTGACAGTTTTAGAATATCTTAACTACTAGCTATCCAGATAATCAATCTTCTCAATCAGTCTTTATGCGCCCAGACAATTCGCGAGATGAACCGTCCACCACAGGTCTCTTAAATCACTAGATTGAAGCCACAACGCTTTAAAGCTTATTCAGAAACCCTCCAAACCAAAGAGGTACATTTGCCCACAATCCAGACATTGTAGTCTTCAACGACGGCCATCTTACCTTACTGATCTTGACTACCTTCATAGCACAATAGACATAATACAATCCATAACCAAGCCCACCGATAATGGCAATTTTAAAGAGCAGTTTCAAAAGTGTCCAAAGACGACGCCGTAGCTGATTAGGCTCACGGGTTGTGGGATGTGTAAATGGATCCGCTGCTCTCTGGTAATAATTCCGTGGCGTCGGTGGTGGATATGCCCCGGGGGGTTCGTATCTCCTAGAAGGAATGGCTCCATAACCGCGATTCGAAGGCAAGTAGTTGGTAGGAGGGCTGACGTGCGAGTGGGATTCTGTTCGGCTAGGAATGCTACCAATCGTAGCTTGAACGAAAAGTTGAGCTCTCCTAGCTTCAGAGACCTGGCGATGGGATCGAGGCTGATCCAGAATGACGGGGCTCTGAGGTAGAAGATTCACAGCCACCCTCTCCTCGGGAAGAGACAAGCTCGTCGGGGGCACAAACGCACAGTACCCAAGTAGTGTGCTAAATGACTCCTTAGATAAACAATAATCGCGACCGCCTTGACTTTTGAATGGGCGTAGCGCTTTCAAGGGTACTTTAAGGACGTTGTGCGTTTGGACGTAGGACCTTTTCTGTAGCCTTTGGCGTTGGTTGGTAAAAACTAAGAGGACTCCGTGGTCGGGATGGGCATTGCTAGGCTTAATGGGCAGATGGGCCCTCCGCAACTGGGTGGCTCGAGGAAACTTGTCCAGCAAGTCTTTGCCTCCTAAGGAGGTGACCTTGTATTATTAGCGTTCCAACAGATCAAGATAAAGAAGGTAAGCGGAGTCGAACGATGAGGATGTCTACGCTCCCGTCCTGAGCTTTACTTGAGAGTACGACAACCGGGTGCTTGTAGCAGCCTCTCTCCAGTCCCACGTCACCTACTTCGTTGTTAGATGGTAGCCAGCGAATGGATCCAGCTAGAGACGCGGTAGGTAGATCCGATTGATCGTTGTAGCGAGGTCTAGTGTGCGCACTTGCCGCTGCCGACCTGGGCATCTTGAAATCATAGACGTGGACATGAAAGTAAATAGGGATCTCAATTATGGCTGACGCGACTTAGGTGAGGAGCAGAGGGTTTGGCAGATAGGCAGTCGGCTTATGCTTTCCCAAGCCTACCTGCACTCTCGTCTTACTGATATTTGATGGGTGAGCCAGTCACACCTAGCCGGGACACTTGTCCATCTCAGCAGTCTGTTACATGTAGGGCCATTGCTAACGTCATCTAGCATGATGTCGGCTATTGGTCAAGTGCGGAACCTACACGCTGGCCCGTTTTATTGGCGATGGGATTTAAAGGATGCGCGTCTGAAACCCCACATCAGCAGAAGCAGCGGATCATGCCACCAACAATGTCAAGAAACGGAAAAGCCATTGAAGGATTCAGAACTGAAGGGTTTCAACTCTAGGGTGGATAGGGGAGATAGGTGTGGATTATAAGCGCGTCTAGTAACTTGCAGCTTCAAGATGATGTGGATGTAGCTTAAGAGTCTTACGGAATAGTCTTCCCTACCCACTGCACTCTTCAATGACCAACTTTTTGTATCTGACAGCAGGAAGGGTATAAATTTAACCTTACAATTTTACCCAATTATTCGGAGGTATTAATTCTAACAAGTAATGCAATGAGGCGCAGACTTAACCCCCAAAGCAGCACTGTAGGATGGGGCTTATTCCGGTCAGTGGTAGTCAAGTCACAAAAGCAAAAGCGACATCTACTTTCACAGGACCAGGGCTATTCCGAGGTGGCCTCATATTGTATAAGCATACTTAGGTATGATAAGGACAAGGGCAAGTACGTCAAGGGCTGCCATTGATGTAGGTATACGAAGGCTTTTAACAAATGAAACCTCCAATTCTTCCGTACTCCGCATAGTAAGGGCCGCGCTGATTTGCTTCGTAGCCGGTATGGAAGACCTATGACAACTAACGATAAAGGTCATATTGACGGCGAGTGCGTAGGCGGGTGAAGTATTGCGCACCAGAGATATGGCAGAAGGATAGGAACCAGTATATATGCATATATTAACCTAATCCTACTAGTAGATGTATGATTGAGAATGCGATCGACGCACTTGCTTGGCAGTTCTTTGCGAGAAGCAGACGGTGTGGCTTTTGATTATTGGTTGCCGCTTGATAAAACATCGGTTGATTATCTCTTGACATTTGTATTTGAGTGGATGCCATTGGCTTGATTAAATGCACGAAGTTTGATAGCGCACCCCGGTACTATCCCTAATCGCGCTATAACTAACAAGAGGTCGCGCTTCCGTAACCCTCAATCTTGAGATGTTTACAGTGGCTTTAAAGAGCTACGTTCCGATTTTTTATAGAAATGGATAGTATACTTACTTTTTAAATGTTTTAGAAAGACAATAGCAAATTTAGCAAGCCTTGGTTCTACATACTAAAAAAGAGAGGATAAACCCATGGTGTGGATTAGAAGGCCGACCAATAAGACAGGGATGAACGGTACTAACAACGCGCCTTGTCATATCTACCTAAAGTCATGCGTGCCATGTCACCAACACGTCTTCTTCGTCGTACTGCGTAGTTCGCTGTTGGTCACATCTCAGTCACCACTTACAGACAGACAACAGGTAGAGTAACATTCAATTGTTATTGTTTTTGCTGGCACGGGGTGTTAAATAATTCACACTGTGTTCTAGCCACGATGATCTGCCCTAGCGGCATTTGAACCTGTATGCTGTCACCCACCTTTGAGAACATATAGGTACTTATGTAAGGCGTCTAGTTCTAGTGGAGAAGTACGGGTTAAGCCAATAGTAGCTAAGCTTAGGTGCTGGAATGTTTTTAGTATAACGCCTGCCGCAGTCACTGAACAAATGATTGAAGTGTTAGTAACGCAGGCTTCTGGGAGCTATTCTATCTCTTAGGCTGTTCGCTGGCCTCTATTATCCCTTTCCCTCCTTTGCTGAGATGTCGTGTTACATCCTCGATACAGATAGATTTTAACAGTGATGCGCTCAACTAGGCAATTTGGACAATATGCAGCGATGCCGCATTGTGAGGCGTCCTGCAGATGTTAGGCGCAGTGTTCCACTTTCTGATACCATGTTTGTTCGTATACACCATCTCCCACACTCCATATAGACGTCCTCTTCAAGGCTCTCCTTCATTACTGATTTAACTAAGTTTTCAATCT